AATTGGGGGGGGGGGGGGGAGTAGGACTTGAAACAGAAAGTCATTTTGAAGGGATTATTAGTGGATCCAACGTAAGTCCAAAACTCCAGTGAAGACAAAGAAATTCCATAAATTATCCGCACCGTTTAACATCACTGCTTCGAGTTGTTTCGCATGTGACATAATTAATCATTTAATCACCCAAAAATGTCGTTTCTCCTTATAAAATATATTCATAAATTCTCAAGGCTGTTCAAGGCTACTGGGATTTCCGCCGCCTTTTCTCTCGCGCGTCGCTTTTTGTTCCTCTCGAAAGGCGTATAGAGAGAGACGTGTGGGTAGAAGATTTCATAAACAATACTAGGTCAACATATATTTTAATTAAACTGTTACGCAATCTACAATGCATTTGCGTTGCCACTGCTTTCAGCTATTGCACAATTACATTTGAATACTTGGAAGAGCTGCTTTCATTTATCCACGGGCGGGTGTACAGGTGAATGTTATCGTGTTATCGAAACAGGATGCCATGACCCGCAAGAAACGCCCGTGAGGTAGTCCAATCCGTAATAACTAGTTTCTAAACGCTTGACCTATGTAGACTCATACGAATTTGATCATTTACGGGTAAATTTGCATGTCATGCAGTATTTACGGAGCATCTGCAACTGGTATTTGCATACTGTACCAATATCATTGAAGATAGCTTTTAGCATTACATAACTGTAGTAAAGCCATTTCGCGAGCCTTGCCCTGGCACTTGTCTACATTCTGGAAGTGTCAACAAACCTTGTCCTAGCCTAATCAAATCTGTGTGTACTGCGATAGACCTACGCCAAGCCTTGTGGCAATGTATAAGCAGTGTACCAGTATCACAATCACCTTGCCCTGGTCACGACGTCCATGCCAGGCTAAGGTTTGCAGTGTAAACTCGCATGCTTATGTATAAAATCCATCTGTATTTAAAGCCTAAGGCTCAATACTTGCATAGTGAAACAAGTAAAAATATCTCATCACCTCAGGAAGTATGGTTCTGTATATTTAACGAGCCAAATTATTGATGAACTAAACTAACAACGGATCGAAAGCTTTGCAGTAATAAATTTACGTGGTGTTTCCACAAACAAAACTATTATATGCTTTATCGCCATGCAAACGTACAAAGAACTTATTAAACTAACAAAGATTTAAATTATTGTACGATAACGTATAGGTGAGTTGTCAGCTTGATTCACACATCACAACTCATGGTTGCATGCGACAATTTTGGGCAAAACTAGTTGTGTAGGATAAATCGGCCTTTAGGCTCCCTATTATTCGAGTCTCAAGTAAACACGGGTTGAAATTCGTCTCGGGAAAGCGAGCTAGCAGGGGTACCCGGGTTGGCTCGCCTTCATTTTGAATAGCTCCTATATACAAGTGTAACTACGAGTGGTCGACATACCTCTGAACTAGTATCATTACTCCAACAACAACAGCAAAAGCAAGATATCAAGCAAGACTTCTTCTTACGGGGTGGCTTAACCACCATGGGAAAGGTTTTATAATCCATAAGGACCGTTTCTTACACTGTTTTAAACTATGTTTGATCATGTTGGATACACATTTATACAAGAGACGATTTGTTCTCGCGCGCGTTCTGTACACAGCCACATCTTAACCACAACTGAGACACTTGAGATGGTAATGAATGGTAATGAATGAGAATAAATTATAAACAGCCTACACAGTACTTAAAGGCTTAATGTGTGCATAACAACACTGCAATACCAAGATGAGCAGGCAATTGTCATGCAAAATACGCCTTACAAAGAAGAGGGAACTTAATTAAAGCCATTATTTCAAGGCCTTCAAATGGTATTTTATGTTTTTAGATATAGGTCGCGGTTTTTGAAGGAAGCTAAGCGATTTTGAAAGTAACCAAAATTCTAGACATGGTTCTTTAATGATACAAAAATGTCAAGCTTTTAAAGAAGCGGAAAGTGTAAGTGCCTGACAACGGTAAATAAAAGGCCTGCTGTATTTTAATGATAGTTGCTACATATCGAAGTGAAGTTACTAATAGATGATTTTGAAAGCACCAACAAATCTAGAAATGGTTCTTTAATTCAAGGTTTCGACACCTAATATCTTTATTCTTGATCAAGGGGAAAATCTAAAAGTGGCTTCTTATACAAGTTCATTCTTTGGAGATTCATGTTTTCTGCTGATGACGTCATTTTCAGTTTCTTACATTCTTTGAGTATCATTTGCCATGTAAATTATTTATACACATTTACTTGAGTATATTGCAGAGGGTTTTCTAATTTGATAGAATACGCAAAAGTTATAATTGTATAAGCTGAATATATAATTGTATAATTGTATAAGGTGAATATTAGTAGCGTCAGTAGCGGAAGGTTTTAGGAAACACCACGATGGCAAATATTTCCATCTGTTTAATAACTCGACATTCACCTCCAAGATACAGAGACTTCTTTCAGTATATAGCCTGCACACAGACGCCAGGAGTAGATATATAGCCTCAGCGAATATGCATCAAAAAGCTTGTATGATCACGTGGATTCCCCAAGATTGGTGACTGGTCAATCAATAATCATGTATATTATTTTCTAATCTCAAGACAGTGGTTTAAAGTTACAAACACCGGGAATGGCATCTGAACAATCAAAGTCTCAAATAGGTACGGCACATACACTGTACCTATGGTATAAACGCTATCAAGCTGGTAACACACATCACAAAACAAACTTTCACTCGCACATTCGCAGACACTACTGTATTGGTACCATAGAGTGTGCGTGCAGGCATATCAGAGAATTTGTATCACCTTATGATTACGGTTGGACCTCTCTAATATGGAGACTAATGGGACATAGTATCCATGACATTAGAAAGGTTCCCAAAAGAAATGAAGAATTTACACTTGTACTCACCGAAGGCAGTCGCCTGGCTTCTTCTGTGGGAGTGTTCATTCCTTCATCACCTGAAATTGAAGGTGTTCGTTTAGAACTCGTGTCTTCACTAGCGCTCGGTGTCCCGTAACCAGATGTCTCAGAAATCATCGACTCATTGTCGCCATGAAATCCTTCGTAATGAAGGTCGGACGATCTTCGGGAGTCTGGCCCCACGTTTTCCTCGCGATATCCACGATCCTCGCGAGCGTCCTCACTAGATCCACGTTCCTCGGGAGCGTATTGACCCGCGTGATACCCACGATCCTCACGAGTTTCTTGGTCCTCGACGTGTTCTCGATCCTCGCGAGTGTCACGATCTTCGTAGGTGTCACGATCCTCGCGTGTTTCAGAATCTTCGTGGTGTCCACTTTCTTCGCGATATCCATGATCCTCGTGCTTTTCTCGATCCTCGTGCGACTCGTGTCCTTTCATGCCGAGATTCGTGGTAGCAAAGGCTTCTGAGAATGCGCGCATGGCGTTAATGCGGCTTTCCGGTGATGCGGGCTCTTCTTCATTTGCGGACTGGACCACAGTTGTTTCAGAAGTATGTGGCTCCGGGCGGGTGTCTTGATTAGTTGCCGACATTTCTAGATCTGTACGAATCTCAAGATCTCGGAGTGGTTTTGTTTCATCGTCAGACTTGTGTACATCATCCTCTGAGTCAGAGGGGCTGGTCTTTTCTTTCTCGTCAGACTTGTGTACATCATCCTCTGAGTCAGAGGGGCTGGTCTTTTCTTTCTCGTCAAACTTGTGTACATCATCCTCCGAGTCAGAGGGGCTGGTCCCGGTCTTTTCTTTCTCTAAGTGCGCCGACATGCGCGGTACTTCATTGTCTACAAATGTATCAGATTTTAAAGATGAGCTGGTGGTTAAATTGACGTCTGTTTTAAGACTACTATCACTATTTGAAGAACTAAAGTCAAGATTAGATTTAAACTCGGATTTAAGTTCAGAATTTATACTGGATTCCTCCTCTTCAGGAATATCTTCCTTTAAAGATACAGTCAAACCTTGCGCGGTTTTGGATTCTGAATCTTCGACTTGCATTTCGTAAACTGGTGTCGTTATGTGTTTAGGTAGGGAATAATTTTGCATCGCCTCACCTGGATTCACGCTGTCTGAGGTTATGTCATCGTAAGATTCCTGCTGTAATTCCATCTCAGTTTTCTCAAAATTTAGAGATGTTTCCACTGCCATGTTCTCAGATGGAAAGTCATCTAGAATGGCTTCGCTTGGGTTCACGTTGTCTGAGCTTGTGTCATCGTCAGATTCCTGCTGTAATTCCATCTCAGTTTTCTCTAAATTTAGAGATGTTTCCACTGTGATGTTCTCAGATGGAACCTCATCTAGAATGGCTTCGCTTGGGTTCACGTTGTCTGAGCTTGTGTCATCGTCAGATTCCTGCTGTAATTCCATCTCAGTTTTCCCTGAATTCGTAGATGTTTCCACTGTGATGTTTTCAGATGGAAACTCATCTTGCATGACCTCACTTGGGCTGATCTTATCCAAGCTTATGTCATTCTTTTCATAAGAAGAACCCCGTTGTAACTCCATCTCCAAATCACCTGATGTTTGCAAAACCTCTGGCGAGGGACTAGGCTCTTTATCAACACTTTCTGATGGACCCTCATTGATGAATGGCATATCGTCAACGGATGCATTGCCCACCGGTGAAAGGTCTCGAGTTTGTCTGTGCTCTGTGTCTTCAACTCGTTCGGCAGCTGCAGGCACCGCAATTTCTTTATTATTTTCACTTGAATCTATCGTAATTTCATACTTGTCTTTATTGTTTCACCACCTTGATTATTAAAACTCTTCCTATTTTCTTCTTTGACATCTACACCAAAACGATCTTCAGTTGATCTTCTTTCCCAGTTTTTTACTCTCGAGAACACAGACAATACCTCTGTATTTCATCAATGTCTCCAACAACATTTCCGGGACTGTTTTCATTTTCAGCAATACACTGCTAGGAAGATCACTCGCAAGCCCGTTTTGCCTAGCATCACTATCCGAAATGGAATCATCATAACTGCCTTTTCTTTTCTCATCTGTGCTCGGGATCTCAAAATCCTGTTCTGACAACTGCTTAGGCTGGTCTACATTAGGTGAACTATCAACTACTATTCCACTTTCTTTGTGCGCTGTTTCATCATCGTCCCGAGTGAATTCATCCATATCAAGCTCAGCAGCAATGTTATCAGCACTGAAATTCTCACTAAGAATTTCAGGTGAACTCTCGACAACGATCCCGCTTTCTTTACAAACTGTATCTTCATGTATGCTAAACTCAAGTCTTCCGTCATCGTCCTGAGTTTCTTCATCTGACTCAGCCTCAGGAGAAATATCATCAGCACTGAGCTCGTCTCTCATATCAAACAAATCACCCTTATTTTCATCTTTCAAATCAATTTCAATATCTTTATAATTAGACTCTCCTGTTCCAAACACATCTTCAAGAGTACCGGATATGTTTTGATCTTTTATTTCATCTCTGGTTTTCTTACATGCAATGATAACATCAGCTGAAGGTTCATTCCTATCCAACATTCTTTCACTCTTCGACAAATATTCCTCAGACCTACAGCGATGTTTTTCAAATCCTTCATCAGATCGCGCTTCAGATATTGGTAGACTGCCAGAAGACTGTCGACGCTTGAGTGGAATATTAAACCTTGGGGCAGAAACGTACGACATATCTTCATCCAGGCTTAAGCTTCCAGGTCGACTGCGAACTTTCTGTGTATTCCTAATTGTCCCTTCATCACTCTTAGTGTACCCCACGAGCTTTTTCTGTACAATATTACCACCGCTTTGATGAGCATTCTGATTGAAGCTTGGTGGTCGGTCACGAATATCTTGCGTATCCTTAGATATCCCAAATTCATACTCAGTGTCTTTAGGCAACCCTTGTTGTTCTACATTACCACCACTGTGTCCATCCCGCTTGGCTGTGTTAGGTTTCGCTCGCAATGCCATTTCACGAGTTGCCACTGGACTCAACTCATCAGCATTGGTTGCTAAGGTTACATCGTGATCAGAATCCAAACTCTCACTACTGTCCGACTCACCTACCATAAAGGGAAAGGGTAGCTTATGGAATGAGCTTATCGGACAGTTTGACTGTCAAAGTTTAACGACTGGATTAATGTTCGAGATTTTTAGATTTTAACATTCCGTTTAAATTATATTTTTAATTCATTCATTTAAACTGTCATTAAGTGTTATTAAATTTAAACGTTGAATTTTGCGTTAAATTCACTCCAAATAATAAGTTCTAGTCAATGCCAATGAAACTACCCACTGTGCTAATCGATTTGCTTTTCCTGACAATTTTAATTTGAAAGAAAATGTTGCTTGCTTGAGTTGGTATAGATGAGATGAGTAGTGAGAGTTTGGTTGAATGTTCTTAGATATCCAATGAGTTTATAATCCTCCGCCAATTTTATTAAATTCTAATGAAGTATAAGCACCTTCTATATATTTAATTTTATGTTATATTAAATTAGCAGTTTTAAGTCTATGCTGTTAATAATTGTATACTTCCAGAGTCAAAGCTTTTCTAATTCGAAGTTCTGGACAATGATGAAGCAGGCCATCCCAGGAAGGAAAGAGTCGGGGCACAATAACTCATTGCATGGGCTTGTAATAATTTTTCATGCTGAATACACTGGGCATTTCATTACTGCAAGACCTACAACTAATTTTTGCAATTAATTACACGTAGTTTTTTCACTAAGTATACAGTATATGTTGTTGCCAAGCAAACAGTTTATTTAAATTAAATCACTTTGTAGATATATTTTGCTTGGCAGCTTAAATGAGGCATCCAATAAATCACACTTCTGGATAAGCTGAGGAGTGTGCCTTGTTCGCCACTTGAAGTGTGCACATGTGGTTATACACCATTCCCAGGATGACCTGATCAAAATACCATATATTCATTTGGCAAAAAATATGACACTAACCTTTGGAGAGAGTTCTATCTGAAGCAGTATCATCATGTTTATACTCTAAACTGCCATCACGGCTTCTCTGTTCACTATCTTCATCAGAATCATCTGAATATTGGTAACCCATCTTGTGACCACCATTCCATTTAGCTCTAAAACACAAGGATGTGATATTAAGAACAATTTAGACACTTTTGGCTAAAACCTGCTTACATGCAACCATGCATACAACTTGACTTGTACTTTGTAAAAAAAAGCAGAACTCACCTAAAATAACATGAGCGAGTTTTGTGCTTCATTTACATGGTACAACTCCGATTGTAAGCAGGTTGTATGTGATAGTTTTAGTTTAGGAAACGTTGTGTAGTGTAAATACATAGATCTATAGAAGATTCATAGGAACGAGGCACTGCCTCATAGTCATACATAGCATCAGGCGCGTAGGAAGCATCTAATGATTGGGGGGGGCACCGGCTTCCAGGGGCACTTTAGGATAGATATTGAAAAAAGGGCACCTAAAAATTTTTTCCCAGAAATGTTGGTGACGGGGGGAAGAGAAAATTTTTTCCCGTCATACCATACCAAAATTGCACGTTTTTGACCATTTTTTTGTTTTTTAAATATGGAAATTTCCAAACAAAAAGGGCACCTCTGATGTTAATTTAGTATTTACAGCGACATTACCTTGTACAAAAAGGGCACTTTTCATCACAAAAAAGGGCACTTTTAGTCCTTTGAAAAAATTTGGGGGGCACATGCCCCCCCCCCCCGGTTCCTACGCCCCTGCATAGCATTCTACTGTATACTATACATGGTTTGAGTACTCACTGGTTAGAATTTAGATCCGCTTGCCCAGATAATCTCTCAGAACTTCTGCCACGATTGCCTGATGTGAATGGATTACTAGGTTCTTCATCTTCTATGAAAGGATTACTGGGTTCTTCATCTTCTATGAAAGGATTACTGGGTTCTTTGTGTCCTTTGGGAGAGATATATCTTGACTTAAATTCTTTACTGTAAATATTTCAAACTTTATGCAAGAGTATTTTATTGTACAGGGGCCGGATGTGCGAATGCCAGATTGACCTATCCACCGGATAGTAACTTTTTCAACCTTTGTAAAAATGCTTGAAAAGCCTATCACACCTAAACTGGACTGTCAAAGGCTGCAACAACCCCTGTGAAGGACACTGATCTCAATAGAATACAATGACCAACCTTTTGGCTGAATTCCAGGAAGTCTTCGTAATGACTGCCTGACTAGCAAACTACCAAAGAGATTGCCATTTTTTTCCTTGTGACCTTGGAAAAACCAAGCTCCTGACTGCGCTTTCACCTCCCTACAACAGTGAGAAATTTTACTTGTCAAGAGAAAAGTGTTGGTCGTCAACGAGTTAACCAGACATCTTTCCATGTCTCCTGTTAACCCATTTACCTGAAACGCACCCTTATTTTTATTCATTAACAAACAACTTTTCTTGTAAAGGGAAAGTGTTGGGCATCCGCTGGTTAGTCAAAACTATTTGATCAATAACTCTTTAATTCATTGAGTACCAGTGCTCTTCCCGTGACAATTAAAATGATCTGGCATTAGACAGAATAAAATAATAAAGTAAGGCCCATTAGGACAAAATGCAACTTAACGAGCTAAATAAATTTATGAATTTTTCTCAGTTTTCCACCCAAAAACCTCCAGATTATTTATGGGATTTTTCTTAATTTCCATATTTTCTTCAGGCAAAGGTTGGCATGTCTGTTTGTCCAAACAATCACTCCCTTACTAATTATTCAAACATGTGACAGAATGATTGAAACAAGCAATTGCATGTATTATTCATTGATACCCTAGTGGAGTGAATACAAAAGTCCTTTATATCACAAGCACAGAATTGCCCATTTTTGGTAGTTTAGTAAATAAAGGCTTTAATACTGAAGTGCAATGCTCGAAAACGAGTGTTTTATAATCTCATTAGGGGCAAGAATTCTGATTGGGATGAGATAGTGTCACAATTATTTCAAAATAATGGCTGGATGACATGGAGAACAGTGGGATTTTCAAAACAATGAAAAGATAATGGAACAATGTGGTCACTGGAACCACTATTGTTAAATTCAAGTGTTATGCAAAGTTCAAAAGGCATGTGTTCATAATTTACATCTTTCAAAGAATCGACTAAAAATTACAAAAATGATTTTTGGCTGCAATGTCTCCAAATTAAGAAAAAAACAATTATTAAAAACACAAAACGATTAAGAATTCCAACTGTGTGTTTATCTTAGAAGATAATTGCAATATTAAAGTGTTAGGGCAACGCCTCTGCCTAAGAAATATGTTTGTTTTTACGGAATATATTACTATAGTAAAACTTGATCGTAAAATGTTTTATATTGATGTATAGTTATAAATATTTTTAAGTCCTGGGCAATATACAGTTTCATATACTAGAAGCAATTTCAATATTGAATCTATTTTAATTTTCACCGCAATATACGAATACAAACAAAACCAAAAACAGCGACATGCGGTTATAAAGCATTAGTATAAATGTTTAATGATTTCTAAAGACATTCAAAGATGAGAATCATAGAGATTTCACAGCTATTACCTGACTTTATTGCACAGAGTACAGATCCAGCCATCATCGATGTCATTAACTCGACACACTTTACAAACTTTAAGCTCACATCGTGGACAATAGGCTCCCCGATTCAAAATTATTCCGAAATATGTCTGACACCTGGCACAATATTTTTCGTTCTTCGATTCGAGTTCGTCTTCTGACAGACCGTTCTCCTTGAGCTCGTCCAATTCCTTTCTCAGAGAACTAAAATAAAAAAACAGGCAAATTCACTTGATTACATTAAAATTCTCGTCAGCCATTAAAGCTTTAAGATATCACATAATCAGATAAACATTCATTTTTAGCCACAAGCTGGTCAAAACCTTTCTCAATAGTTGACTTGGCTAACTTTGTCGCAGCTATAAATGTAGACCTACCCAATCCGACCCTGTTCTGCTTTTCTTATTTCAGCATCTTTAGAAATGACGTTGTTTATTAAATCCCGTTCATCTTCGGTGAGAAAGCCCAAATCCAACAGTACTTCCCTAGACATTTTGCCAGGCTAGTTTAAACTAGACAATAACACTGGCTACAAGCCTCGACATGTACCGTATATAGAGACACTTCAAACTTATTTATCCCAACTTTAAACGGCTTTCTGCCAGAGTTTTCACAACTTCTGAACTGTGTAAATACACTCGTCGCATTCTCGAGTCATCATTATGCAAAAGACATTTGCTTTTATAATGTTTTGAATACATTACAAAACATAAAAGCTCTTAGCTTTATTCAAATTTCTTCCCAAAATTTGAGGTCAAAAGAGCAAACGGGACATTTTTCCCACCGGGGAAAATACATACCCCGATAACGAGCCGTTTCAACACCCTGGGGACGAGGTTTCGAGCACTTTCTTCTTTTTCCTGTTCCACACATATACAGAACTCACTGATTTCAGCATGTTTCCCCAAATTACTTTGCATTTTTTGTCTTGGTTTCGGTATTTCCATCGCAAAATCTGTCTTCTTCCCTCGTTCTCTAAAACGTCCGGGAAACCTCTATTATACCGGATTATATTCAACTCATTGATAACAGAGACAAATCCATTCTGTGGGAACAACCATTAATATTTCAACAATAAAAGCGAGGATGAAAGAGTCTCAATTAAACTTGTATACTGGCAGTGAACATAACCTCAATAATGTATGGAGTATTATGCATTACATTAAACTGTTTACTTCAAATTATAAATATTTGTAGAAGTTCGAACAGCTGTGCCAATACTTTGTGTCTGAGGATTTTTCAAATTAATCTAAACTACTTTCATTCATTTTAGTGGTTTTTTAATTAACAGGCATGCATTTGTCAAAGTCTGAGGTTAAGGCCAATTTATACTGCACAACTTTTGACTAAAACTGTCATATGCAACCTGCTTACAACTTGAGTTGCAAACACCTACGACAAGTTTTTCAGTTAGGTCCGACCTTTTTTCGGTTAATTTTCGTCAGGTAATTGGCTTAAAACCTTGGTTGATAGGAATACAAGTGTATGAAAAATACAAGGAGAAATTCGTAGTAGCCAATCATAACTATCCAACGAAGGGCCAGTGGCGTAACTACTCAGGCTGTAGCGCAAAAACATTGTTCAGGGCCTCTGATATGTCACAATGTCGTTTTCTGACCATCAGAATTCTGTAAAATCTGTCCCCAAAGTCCGGGAAATGGCATTTCAGAGAGTCTAGATTCAAACGTTTTCCAGGTGAGCACTGCAACTCGTGCCTTTGGCACTTCTACTAGGAGACGCTTCGACAATTTTGAAGCGGGGGGCCCTGATATGACGTTAAGCCACTACGAAGGACCTTCGCTCCAAACGTCGAAGTTCTCCTTGTGTATTTTTCCTTGCCAACGAAAGTTGTTACTATTGGCACTACTTAAACCGCCGTTCAATATCAATGGACTATACCATTTCATACCCTGCATCCCCTAACCGAAACTCCTCAGGGGCTGGTTGTTCAAAAGCCGATTAGTTTAACCCATACTTAACCTAAAATTCAAAGCAAAGCAATGTGTTTATAAATTTGGAAATATTTCTTCAGCAATCTTGTCTGGATCAGTAGGAATTTTCTTCTCTGACGTTTTGAAATAAACAGACGTGGAAAAATACAAAAACTAAAACAGCAAGTTAAAGTTTAACCCAGGGATAGCGCTAACCCAGCTTTGAATTACTTGAACAACTAAATTACTTGAACAACTACATATTAAAATGATACAGCAATCTAAATACAAGGGGGGGGGGATTTTATGAAAACCTGGAATTCCTCAGGGGTAAGGGTTCATAGAAGCGAGAAAGAAAATAACCTTTACTCAAAATATGGTAAAATGGCATTTTTCACTGTGACAGCTCTATACTTGTGATTTTTCAATTACGCAGCATGTTCAAAATGTACATATTCAAAATTGCTGTTAACAAAAAGTTAATAGCAATTTAGATCGGTAGCAGCTGAAGGAATCATGAAGTCAAACATAATATGATTCTGATTATCTTTTGACGTCGTATTTCTATATTTTAATGACTCAACACTTGAAAGAGTAATGAAGCAATTTAGAAAATAAACACAACTATTATATAAAGAAGCACAAAAAAGCAAAACGGTACATTTGGTACTGCCTCTAAACTGAGAAAGATCACTGTAAGTATGTAATGTACATGGATTTTGCTTTTATATTTTAGATTATTTTATAGGGAGTACATTATTCGTTTTTATGTATAATACAAGCCTATAGACACATAACTTTTCACCCAACAAACTTATTTCTTATTTTTGTAGACCGTAAAGAGAAAAAGTATATTTGGGAAATTCAACATGACTGGCAAGCTTTTCGTTTTGGCCTTGCTGGGAGCATTGGTGTTGGTGAATGTTCATGGCGATGGTGAGGCACTCTCTTATAATAACGATCACAACTAAGGCGGCAGAGTTCGTTTTTGGTGAAAACCAGAGTATACGGAGTCGGAGAAGGACCCTGGTTTCCACATGGACGAAATGGTCGTAAAAATAGAGTCACGATCTTTCTCAACGGCCAGTCTATAATAGTTCATACCCGTAAGCCACATATATAAAATCATAAGTATTCTCTAGTTATAAAACTAAACAGTATGAGTAATCAGGCATATATCATTCTTAATGTTTCATCTACTCTCTAAAGGCCGTTTTCCACTAGGCGAATTTTTTCGCGCGACGCGAAGCGAAAACCGAAATCCGGCAACGTGATTGGTCGGCGAAAAAATTCGCGGCGAAAAAGTAGGATCGCTTCCTACTTTTTATCTGTTCGCGCGAAAAAATTCGCCTAGTGGAAAACGGCCTTAAGTCTAACGGACGACGATTTTACTCATAAAAGGAATATCCTCAAAAATATTTCTTTAATTGTATAGACGATTTCAAGGAAGTGGACAACATGGACGAAGTAGAAAATATGGAACAAGAAAGTAAGAAAACTCTTCATTTAAAGAGGTGTCCGTATTAAAGAGGGCTCCGTATTAGAGAGGTGTCCATATTAGAGCAGTGTCTGTATTAGAGGTGTCTGTATTAGAGCAGTGTCTGTATTAGCCTGCGAACAGGCTCTCAAGCTGAATTATTAGAGAGGTGTCTGTATTAGAGCAGTGTCTGTATTAGAGAGGTTTCCGTATTAGAGCAGTGTCTGTATTAGAGAGGTGTCTGTATTAGAGAGGTGTCTGTATTAGAGAGGTGTCTGTATTAGAGAGGTGTCTGTATTAGAGAGGTGTCTGTATTAGAGCAGTGTCTGTATTAGAGAGGTGTCTGTATTAGAGCAGTGTCTGTATTAGAGAGGTGTCCGCTTTAGTGTCTCTTATTCGAGAAGTGTCTGCAACGAGAGGTTAGACTGTACCACAATTTAAGGTACCATGGATATATGATGTCATATTCCCCTGATGGCTTTGAAATTCTTTGCTGATCATTTATTTTCAGTTGAAGATGATGAAGAAAGTGAAACCAGGCAACCAAGATCCCCATTTAGATTCAGAGGTTTCAGAAGAACAGGTAAGTTCAAACTGACAAGGGTAGATGATGAGTTATGGTTAAATCTTCAGATAACCGAAACCTTGGGACAAAAGCTTGGTGTCTGTTGTTTGAGAGTGTCCTCTGTCTATATGTTAATGTTTAACACAAGATATCTATGGTTTGACAGTGTCCTCTGTCTATATGTTAATGTTTGACAGTGTCCTCTGTCAAAATGTTATGCGAGTTATGGTCAAATCTTCAGATAACGGAAACCTTGGGACAAAAGCTTGGTGTCTGTTGTTTGAGAGTGTCCTCTGTCTATATGTTAACAGACAATAACTAGACAAAAAAGTGTACAAGATACGGTGATAACCAAGTGCTCTCCAAGTGCTACAAATAAAATCACTGCGCAAGGGCTCACTTTTCCCTCACTAGAAACTTCATGCACGCCCCTGCAGAGGAAAGAGATCTACATCTGGAATAAAGCTGATTACAAACAAGCAAGTTTTAATATAGAGTCTTATTTGCGCGTCTGCATGGCCAAGTTTTTCTATAACAAGTGCACTTGGTGAAAAGAAAGTCTACCGTACTTGTCATTGAAACAATTGCAAAGCACTGGACCGCGAGCAGTCCCTAGGGAGAAAGGAGGGACTGCCGACAACACTTGAAGAAACGAAATACGCCCACTTTTCGCTCTTGTCAAGTCGGCTCCACCTTTGCATAAACCGTTAATGTCATGTTTATTTATAAAATCAACATTCAGTCTGGAAATTATTGATAGCATAATTACCACGTAACAGATTTGATTGACAGGCGTATCGATTTCGACCAATGGGAATTTTGCGTTGTGTGGGCAACGCGTATTTCGTTTCTTGACGTGTTGTCGGCAGTCCTTCCTTTCTTTTCGCATGCCCGGAAATCTAAAGCCGCGGAAAGGAGGGACCACTCGCAGTCTATAGCGCCAACTAGTTTCCTATCCAGTTCTTTAACTATTCATACTTATACACCCAGCATCCGTTATTAAAGATTTTCACAGTATTCAGCACTTCATTTCTTGACTTGCTATTTTCCAGGAACTCGTAGCGGATGGCGAAGTACACGATCAGGGACAAGAACTGGGGGTAAGCAACAGAGTCGGCACCAGCAGGGGGGGGGGAGCATATTAGGCTCGGTCGCCAGGAAGAGGAGGTAAGCAATAAGGTTGGTCGCCAGGGGGTCAAATATGGTGACTGCCTCTCAACAATGCTTTGGTTCACGAAATGTTAAAGAGTGCTCAATGTCATATATAATAGAGCAGATATAGTTGTTTTACCTTAAAAGGTTACCACAACGGCCTGTTTATAGGACACCAAAGTATTTCAATGGAGGTTAATATTGAAATTAACCCGTTGCCTCCTTATTTAGGGGGATTTTTCCGAAGAACCAGAAGCAGTACTGGTGGTGGTAGCTCAGGCTCAAGAATTTTCCGAAGAAGCAGAACCAGTACTGGTGGTGGTAGCTCAGGCTCAAGAATTTTTCGAAGAAGCAGAACCAGTGGTGGTGGTAGCTCAGGCTCCAGAATTTTCCGAAGGAATAGAAGTGGAACACGAACTGGCGGTGGTTCGAGCGGTAACAATGGTGGAGGTAAATCAATATTCTCCGTCCCAAGTTCATCTATTTTCCATCTCGTATCTCTACACACTTTTGTAAAAAATGGACTTGAAATGTTCAAATTAGTCTACGCCGAAAATTTCATGTTGTCTGTTTTTGAGATTTTAGATTTTCCTAGACATTTCACTGTAAATCTGGAATCTGTTGCTGCAGTGAAACATGGGAAAACTAAATTTTCAAAACACCATACCTCGCTCTCTGACTGTTCAAAACAACGTGACATTTTCGGTATATACTAAGTTGAGCATGAAGATTTCAATTCTGGGCTCCAATTCTGCCAAATGTGATGAAAAATCGATGACGTTAACCTTAGGTCAGACCGTTCAAATTGTTGAATTGGAACACAAAAAGTTTGGGCTTCGGACCTATCTGACCGGAAAATTTAGATAACATTAGGATAAGGACAGGGACGCCGGAACGATGTGAAGGCAAGGGGGGCAGATTTTCGTGGAAGGGCACTTTTGAATCGATATATACTAAGAGATGTTCGCAAAACATCGGGAGTTGAACTTCGCCTAGTCATGTTTTCTATGTATTGGATGATAGGGGTGTGAGGGGGTTCTCCGCCAGGCGATTGTGCTATTCTTGAAGCTCGATGACTGCATTTCTTGCGTTTTCTGAAGCAAATTCGTAAAAGAATTGCACTAACATTTCTGACAACTCGCTATTTCGCTAAGGCAATCCTTTAAATTGAAAGGGCACCTTTGCCCCCTCCCCCCCCTTGCCCCTAAGGGCAACGGATAAGGATAAGTTTGGATAAGGATGTTTGAGAAACATAGACCAGATCTTTCCATTGATACAGAGGATGGATACAAAAATTCGAGTCTGACCGGTCAGGTCATTAAATGGAAAGCGCCCTTAGATAGCAGAATAAAGATTTCTAGACCACACCTTGATGATGGTATATATGGATTATAAAGGAATATAGTTTCCATATACTGTACTTTAAGTGTCGCATGTTAAGTTTTTTGTTTGTGTGTTTATGTAGGAACAGGAACATGGGGTAAAATTGGTACCGTCTTGGGCATCGCACAACTGGGAGTTGATCTTGCGACAGTCACTCTAAATACAATGTCGAGCGTTGAACGTAAAATGGTCCTCTCCCTTGGGAACTTGGAAGGCGTTGATTGGCAAGGTCTGCAACAACTTACATTTCACCATATGTCATTTTATACCGTTTTTACGTGTGGTTGTTCATGTTGCTTTTGCCGTTGTTCTTACTGGTGTTGTTGCTGTTGCCGTTGCTGTCTCTGCTGTTGTTGTTGTTGCTGTCGTTGTTGCTGTCTCTGTTGCTGTTGCTGTCTCTGTTGTTGTTGCTGTCGTTGTTGTTGCTGTTGTTGTTGTTGCTGTTGTTGTCGTTGTTGCTGTCTCTGTTGTTGTTGTTGTTGTTGCTGTCGTTGTTGCTGTCGTTATTGTTGTCGTTGTTGTTGCTGTTGTTATTGTTGTTGCCGTTGTTGTTGTCGTTGTTGTTGCTGTCGTTGTTGTTGCTGTTGTCATAATCGCTGTTGTTGTCGTCGACTTGTCGTCGCTGTCATTTTTGTCGTTGCTGTTGTTGTGGTTGCAGTTATTGCTGTTGTCTTTGCTGTCTCTGTTGTTGTTGTTGCTGTCGTTGTTTCTGTCGTCGCTGTTGTTGTTGTCAACTTGTCGTCGCTGTTGTTATTGTCGTTGCTGTGGTTGCAGTTGCTGTTGTTGTTCTATGTGGCAGATTATCAAAACATCAATATTAAAACCTCCCTGCCCCAATAGGTTTTGCTTAAAAGCCAGCCTAATTTTTAGACTATTTTTGGAGTTGATAGCCACGTACTACAAGTTAAGATGATAGCAAGAAAAATCAGCAGTTGAAGCGAAGAATTCAGCATTGTTGCATCCATTGTTAGTTCTTTAAGAGCAGGCTTTAATGATTTTATTTCTTCATAGGCGGCACGGTTTACATGAACCAAGGATCTTCTATCAAAGCTATACCCCTCGAAGTTGCGACCGAAGAAGGAGTACAAATGGGAGGAGTAAAAACCACTGGACCTTCAGCAACTGGAGTGTCAGGTGCTTTGTGTTATAGATTCCAGCTTATCGGGAAATCGTTCTGCCTCATGTTCAAAGTACCGTATAGTGGCGCCAATTATTGGAATGTGAAGGTTTACGACGGAGCAAAACAAGCAAGCGCAGATATCTATAATGAACTACAGAGTGGCGCCTTTAAAGCTGGTACTCCTGTTGCACAGAAAGATATTGGGGCAGGAGAGGGTTATAAGATCTACATGAAAGATTGCTCCATGACAAATTCTGGCCAAGCAGTCTTGCAAGTGTACCTTGGATTGCAAGAAACTTAATCCAATATGGAACCAAAGATTAACGGGAAAAACTTTGCTTTAGTTGCTTTGAAAACAGTTCTATTGAATTGGGAAATTAGGTTAAGACCTGATTTCAGTTAAACTGTAAATGTTTGCATAGAATAAATTTGCTTTCCCGAAAATACTCTGTGAATTGTGTTGTTTTATAATCTTTTTTCTGCTGTAGACTAACATTGGCAATTAGTTGAAACCGAACATGGACTAAATGTGTTCATCCCAAAATACAAGTCCCACGTAAATAAGAGTTTGTAGTTACGACTTTAATGAATGGCTTTAGTACAAGTATATGGGTCGAGTACAAGAGATTTTCGATGAAAAATTAATCAAGCACTGTCATAAATACTAGCCCTAACATTTAAGTCGACAAATATAATATAATTTAGTGTATATAGATCATTGATAATCAGACATTTGACAATCAGACTTTTGCTTGAAAGCTTTTTTCTCATGTGTTTTATTTAAGCCTGATTCAGAGAGAATGTTGTAGAATTAAGGGAGTAATTTGATAAGGCAAAAGTATACGGCATCCAACTTTTATATATTCATAGCAAAGGCACTGAATTTTCAACATAAAGTTGGCTCAAGCCTGATTGGAACCTGGTATATTGAGCAAACCTGGGTTCACTAATTAGAACACATACGTATAATACTAATTGAAGCATTCTATTTGTCATATCAGCAATTTAAATGGATTCTCATTTTCATAATATCATTGATTTAAATCATAGTGAAGAGTTAATCAGAAACATTGTGACTAATTTTGATGTTTTCAACAGCGGCCCTTACAACTTCAATGTCAGCATGGTCACCCCAAACCTTTTCCCGATACTCAAGCAGTACACCCTGGTCAGCAGCCCCAACTACAAAAAGTCCGCCCATCAGACGACCTTCACCATCCATGTTGCCATGGAAACCACCACTCTGCGTGTGATAAAGGTTTATCCAAGTTTGGACTCGCAAGAAACCTTCAATGAGAATTTTACATATTTACCCATTGATGTGCAAGACTGACACTTCGATGACTTTAATCAAAGTTCGAGTACATTGCAGCTCAATGAGTTAACACAAGGTGTGACCATAGAACTTTCTCTGACAAAAAAATGATTTAGTACCACTGTACTTGACAGCAACAAACACTCGCCAGGAAAAAGGCAAGGAAAAATGCCAAGGCAAAATAGGGGCTGGAAGTATTTTCATAGGTACTATACTAGGAATGTTCCGTATACCGAAAATACCGGTATCGAAATTAATATCAGTTTACTGGTTTTTTAAGTCATACTGATATAACAAAAATTCCGATATGTTGGAATATACTGATATCCTTTAAAACAGCTTCAAAGATATCAAAATTTCCTTCAAATTTCCACAAAAAACCAGTATACTGATAATATCGGTATAATTTTCGGGTATGTTGATACCAGAAAATTCTCATACCGAACATTCCTACAGTATACCAGTACACTTTTGCTAACAAAGAATTATTATGAGAATGAAAGGCAAGGCCAACCTGATCATCGAGGTAAATGTCTCCTTTAAAAAATGGTTTAAATTCTTCCACGCCTATCGTCTCATGAACCACACCAATCAAGGGAATGCCTCTTTGGTCCAGCTCAGCTTTCAGAGAGGAAAGCACTGAAGCCTCCTGTTGAAGAAAGAAGAATACAACTTATCCACCAAGAAGTTAGTTTTAGTTTCTAACAAATGTCATACCTCTCTGCACAAAGATACTGCTGATGCTAACACTGTCTGTTTACATTGCATCATATATTTCAATAAGAAGACAAAGAATGGAACTCCAAATAGAACCAGTATGAGTGAAGTAACTATCAGGACAGCTAAAATCCGCCTGGAAAATGAAAAGAACTTTCTTGTCACAATTGCAATTGTCTGCTTCATACTGGCTGCAACTGTTTTACCATTTCTCATAATGACTTTTGTTACTATTGTCAACGCTACGAACAGATTGGAGGATGATAGTAAAATTGCTGTACCATCCTACGCCCACTGGGGCCCTATTATACCAGATTATATTCAACTCATTGATCACAGAGACAAATCCATTCTGTGGGAAACATTGAATAACCATTAATATTTCAACGATAAAAGCGAGGACGAAAGAGTCTCAATTAAACTTGTATACTGGCAATGAACATAACCTCAATAACGTATGGAAATGTTTATATACTTCAAATTATAAATATTTGTAGAAGTTCGAACAGCTGTGCCAATATTTTGTGTCCGGGGATATTTCAAATTAATCTAAACTAGCTTTCATTTATTTTAGTGTTTTTTTTTAATTAACAGGCATGCATTTGTCAAAGTCTGAGGTTAAATCCAATTTACACTACACAACTTTTGCCTGCATCCTGCTTACAACTTTGCAAAAGCCAGTTTTTCAGGGTTTTTTTTGGCTCTGGGTTTAGGTCCGACCTTCTTTCGGTTAATTTTTCTCAGGTAATTGGCTAATGGACTAATAGCAAAACCTTGGTTGGCAGGGATACACTGCATTATTCTTAACTAAGTTATTCTTCCCTTTTTTTGCTTATATTGTAGACAGAAGGGACCTTCACTGGAGGGGCCAAAACAGGGGCTGGGGGGACTTGTCCCCCCAGTCTATTGTATTAAAAGGGGCCCTGCATGTGCACGTATAGTCCATTGATCTTGAACGGTGGTCTTGTGCCAGTGTAGGTATTGCCAATAATAACAAAACTTCCGTTGGCAGGCAAAAATACAAGGAGAAATTCGACGTTTCGAGCGAAGGCTCTTCATTGGGTAGTAGCCAATCAGAACTCATCATAATTACCCCCCAGCCCTGTTTTGCCCCGAGATTTTATGAAAATCTGGAATTCCTCAGGGGTAAAGGTTCATAGAAGCGAGAGGAAAGAACTTTTACCCAAAATAAAATATGGTAAAAATCAATTACGCAGCATGTTCAAAATGTACATATTCAAAATTGCTGTTGACAAAAAGTTAATGAAAATTTAGATCGCTAGCAGCTGAAGGAATCATGAAGTCAAACATAATATGATTCTGTTTATCTTTTGACGTCGTATTTATATATTTTAATGACTCAACACTTGAAAGAGTAATGAAGAAGCAATTTAGAAAATAAACACGACTTTTATATAAAGGAGCACAAAAAAGCAAAACGGTACATTTGGTACTGCCTCTAAGCTGAGAAGGAACACTGTAAGTATGTAATGTACATGGATTTTGTATATTTTAGATTATTTTATAGGGAGTACATTATTCGTTTTTATGTATAATACAAGCCTATAGACACATAACTTTTCACCCAACAAACTTATTTCTTATTTTTGTAGACCGTAAAGAGAAAAAGTATATTTGGGAAATTCAACATGACTGGCAAGCTTTTCGTTTTGGCCTTGCTGGGAGCATTGGTGTTGGTGAATGTTCATGGCGATGGTGAGGCACAGTCTTATAATAATGATCACAACTAAGGCGGCAGAGTTCGTTTTTGGTGAAAACCAGAGTACACGGAGTCGGAGAAGAACCCTGGTTTCCATATGTTCGTAAAAATAGAGTCACGATCTTTCTCAACGGCCAGTTTATAATAGTTCATACCTGTAAACCACACATAACATCATAAGTATTCTCTAGTTATAAAACTAAACAGTATGTGGAATCAGGAGTATATCAGTCTTAATGTTTCATCTACTCACTGAGTCTAACGGACGACGAGTTCACTCGTAAAAGGAATCTCCTCAAACATTTTTTTAATTGTATAGACGATTTCAAGGAAGTGGACAACATGGACGAAGTAGAAAATATGGAACAAGAAAGTAAGAAAACTCTTTAATTCATTTAAATACGTGTTCGTATTAGAGAGGTGTTCGTATTAAAGAGATGTCCGTATTAGAGAGATGTCTGTATTAGAGAGATGTCCGTATTAGAGAGGTGTTCGTATTAGAGAGGTATTCGTATTTAGAAGAGATGATCTCACCAGAGAGAAATGACATTATCAGCGATGTGTCCGCATTAGAAAGGTGCCTGTATTAGAGAGGGGTCCGTTTAGAGAGGTGTCTGTATTAGAGAGGGGTCCGTTTAGAGAGGGGACGTCCGTATTAGAGAGTATTCGTATTAAGAACCTCACCAGAGTGAAATGAGATTATTAGCGATGTGTCCGCATTAGAGAGATGTCTGTATTAGAGAGCCGTATTAGAGCAGTGTCTGTATTAGACAGGTGTCCGCTTTAGTGTCTCTTATTCGAGAAGTGTCTGCAAGGAGAGGTTAGACTGTACTAATTTAAGGTACCATGGATATATCATATTCCCCTGATGGCTTTGAAATTCTTTCCCGCTCATTTATTTTCAGTTGAAGACGATGAAGAAAGTGAAGACAGGCAACCAAGATCCCCATTTAGATTCAGAGGAGGGTTCAGAAGAACAGGTAAGTTCAAACTGACAAGGGTAGATGATGAGTTATGGTTAAATCTTCAGATAACCGAAACCTTGGGACAAAAGCTTGGTGTCTGTTGTTTGAGAGTGTCCTCTGTCGCTGTCTATATGTTAACAGACAGTAACTAGACAAAATCGCGTACATGATACGGTGATAACCAAGTGCTGGGTCTACATCCTCTCTCCTCCACAGAGCCTCCTTAAATATTTACAAATAAAATCACTCCTTGCGCGCTCACTTTTTCCTCACTAGAAACTTCGTGTAAGCCTCTGCGGAGGAGAGAGGTCTACGAGGCGCTGGAATAAAGCTGGTTACAGACGAGCAAGTTTTAATATAGCGAGTCTTATTTGCCCGTCTGTATGGCCAAGTTTTTCTATAACAAGTACACTTGTTCAAAAGAAAGTCTACTTGTCATTAAAAAATTGCAAAGCAGTGGTGTCACTACACCACGAGCAGTTACTCAGGAGAAAGGAGAGACTGCCAACAACACATGAAGAAACGAAATACGCCCACTTTTCGCTCTTGTCAAGTCGGCTCCGCCTTTGCAGAAACATTACTTATACCCAATTAAATCTATCCAACAGTTTATTTATAACATCAACGTGCAGTCTGGGAATTATTAATAGCATAATTACTACGTATCAGATTTGATTGACAGGCGTATCGATTTCGACCAATGGGAATTTTGCGTTGTGTGCAGTTATCGGCAGTCTCTCCTTTCCTTTCGCATGCCCGGAAATCTAAACCCGCGGAAAGGAGGGACCGCTCGCAGTCTATGGTGTCACCTAGTTTCCTATCCAGTTCTTAACTATACATGCTTATACACCCAGTATCCGTTATTAGAGATTTTCACAGTATTCAGAACTTCATTTCTTGATTTGCTATTTTCCAGGAACTGGAGTACGAAGTACACGAACAGGGACAAGAACTGGGGGTAAGCAACAGAGTCGGCACCAGGAGGAGAGGGGGGGGGGGGCATATTAGGCTCGGCTGCCAGGGGGTCAAAAAGGGTGACTGCCTGACTGCCTTTACCTCTCAACAATGCTTTGGTTCACGAAATGTTAAAGAGTGCTCAATGTCATATAGAGCAGATATAGTTGTTTTGCCTTAAAAGGTTACCACAACAGCCTGTTTATAGGACATCATAGTATTTCAATGGAGGTTAATATTGAAATTAACCCGTTGCCTCCTTATTTAGGGGGAATTTTCCGAAGAACCAGAACCAGTACTGGTGGTGGTGGCTCAAGAATTTTCCGAAGAACCAGAACCAGTGGTGGTGGTCGCTCAGGCTCGAGAATTTTCCGAAGGAACAGAAGCGGAACACGAAGTGGAACTAGCGGTGGTTCAAGCGGTACCAATGGTGGAGGTAAATCAATATTCTCCGCCCCAAGTTCATCAATTTTTCATCTCGTATCTACACACTTTTGTAAAAAACGGACCTCAGAAATCAGAATTGAAATGTTCAAATTAGCCTTTGCCGAAAATTTCATTTTGTCTGGTTTTGAAATTTTAGATTTTCCTAGACATTTCACTTGAAATCTGGAATCTGTTGCTGCAGTGAAACATGGGAAAACTAAATTTTCAAAACACCATACCTCGCTCTCTGACTGTTCAAAACAACGTGAAATTTTCGGTATATACTAAGTTGAGCATGAACATTTCAATTCTGGACTCTATTTCTGTCAAATGTGAAGATGAAAAGTCGACGACGTTAACCTTAGGGCCTTTCCATTAACATGGTCAGAACGGTCAAATTGTTGAATGGAACACAAAAAGTTTGGGTTTCGGACCTACCTGACCGGAAAATTTAGATAAAATTAGAATGAGGTCCATTTTTGCTAGTTATTTGAGAAACATAGACCATATCTTTCCATTGATACAGAAACAAAAATTCGGGTCTGTCAGGTCATTAAATGGAAAGCGCCCTTAGATAGCAGAATAAAGATTTCCAGACCACACCTTGATGATGGTATACAGCTGATTCAATTAAGGTTGTCCTTCCAAAACCTTAAACCTTAAACTCTGAGTGCGCCAGGGATGATGGGTTTTCACTTATTAGGCCCTTAAACTCAGAGAATTGCCTTTGCAGCAAGTATGTTTTTTGTCATGAGTCTTCTATATGTCTTAGGTATTCTTGCCAAGCCAAATTTCGAAGTGTATGAGTCTAAATAAGCAATAACCCATCATCCTTTGCGAGCTCAGAGTTTAAGGTTTAGGTTTTTGGATGGACAACCTTAATTGAATTAGCTGTATATGGATTATGAAGGAATATAGTTTTCATATACTTTGTGTAGCATCTTAAGTTTCTTGTTTGCGTTTCTACAGGCACGGGAACATTGAGTAAAATTGGTACCGTCTTGGGCATCGCACAACTGGGAGTTGATCTTGCCACAACCACTCTAAATACAATGTCGAGCGTTGAACGTAAAATGGTCCTCGCCCTTGGGAACTTGGAAGGCGTTGATTGGCAAGGTCTGCAACGATTTACATTTCACCATACATGTCATTTTATACCGTTTTTACGTGTGGTTGTTCATGTTGCTTTTGCCGTTGTTCTTACTGGCGTTGTTGCTGTCGTTGCCGTTGCTGTCGTTGTTGTTGTCGTTGCTGTCTCTGTTGTTGCTGTTCGTTGTTGCTGTCGTTGTTGCTGTCGTTGTTGTTGTTGCTGTTGTCGTTGTTGCTGTTGTCGTCATCGCTGTTGTTGTTGTCGTTGTTGTCGACGCTGTCATTTTTGTCGTTGCTGTTGTTGTGGTTGCAGTTATTGCTGTTGTCGTTGCTGTCTTTGTTGTTGTTGTTGTTGTTGTTGTTGTTGTTGTTGTTGTTGTTGTTGTTGTTGTTGTTGCTGTCATTGTCGTTGTTGTTACTGTCATTGTCGTCGCTGTCGTCGTCGCTGTTGTTGTTGTCAACTTGTCGTCGCTAATGTTTTTGTCGTTGTGGTTGCAATTATTGTTGTTGTTGTTGTTGCTGTTCTATGTGGCAGATTATCAAAACATCAATATTAAAACTTCTGCCCCGTAGCTGCCCCCGATAGGTTTTGCTTAAAAGCCAGCTTAATTTTTAGACTATTTTTGGAGTTGATAGCCACGTACAACAAGTTTAGATGACAGCACGAAAAATCAGCAGTTGAAGCGAAGAATTCAGCATTGTTGCATCCATTGTTAGTTCCTTTCGAGCAGGCTTCAATGATTCTATTTTTTCATAGGCGGCACTGTTTACATGAACCAAGGATCTTCTATCAAAGCTATACCCCTCGAAGTTGCGACCGAAGAAGGAATACAAATGGGGGGAGTAAAAACCACTGGACCTTCAGCAACTGGAGTGTCAGGTGCTGTGTGTTATAGATTCCAGCTTATTGGGAAATCTTTCTGTCTCATGTTCAAAGTACCGTACAGTGGCGCCAATTATTGGAATGTGAAGGTTTACGACGGAGCAAAACAAGCAAGCGCAGATATATATAATGGCCTACAAAATGGCGCCTTTAAAGCTGGTACTCCTGTTGCACGGAAAGATATTGGGGCAGGAGAGGGTTATAAGATCTACATGAAAGATTGCTCCATGACAAATGCTGGCCAAACAGTCTTGCAAGTGTATCTTGGATTGGAAGAAACTTAATCCAATATGGGATCAAAGATTAACGGGAAAAACTTTGCTTTAGTTGCAGCTTTGAAAACAGTTGTATTGAATTGGGAAATTAGGTTAACCTGAAGACCTGATTTCAGTTAAACTGTAAATGTTTGCATAGAATAAATTTGCTTTCCCGAAAATACTCTGTGAATTGTGTTGTTTTATAATCTTTTTTCTGCTGTAGACTGACATTGGCAAAATTATGAGGAAAGGACAATTATTCCCTCTTACTGTAACTTATAAGAAGTTGAAACCGAACATGGACTAAATGTGTTCATCCCAAATACAAGTCCCACGTAAATAAGAGTTTGTAGTTACGACTTTAATGAATGGGTTTAGTACAAGTATATGGGTCGAGTACAAGAGATTTTCGATGAAAAATTAATCAAGCACTGTCATAAATACTAGCCCTAACATTTAAGTCGACAAATACAATATCATTTAGTGTATATAAATCATTGATAATCAGACATTTGACAATCAGACTTTTGCTTGAAAGCTTTTTTCTCATGTGTTTTATTTAAGCCTGATTCAGACAGAATGTTGTAAAATTAAGGGAGGAATTGGATAAGGCAAAAGTATGACGTCCAACTTTTACACATATATTCATAGCAAAGACACAACACTGAATTCAGCAAACCTAATTAGAACACATATGTATCATACTAATTGAAGCATTCTATCTGAATCAGGCCAAGGCATCTTCTAAATTAACATTTTGATCATATCATCAATTTAAATGGATTCACATTTTCATAACAGCATTGATTTAAATCATAGTGAAGAGTTAATCAGAAACATTGTGACTAATTTTGATGTTTTCAACAGCGGCCCTTACATCTTCAATGTCGGCATGGTCGCCCCAAACCTTTTCCCGATACTCAAACAGTACACCCTGGTCAGCAGCCCCAACTACAAAGAGTCCACCCATCAGACGACCTTCACCATCCATGTTGCCATGGAAACCACCACTCTGCGCATGATAAAGGTTTATCCACGTTTGGACTCGCAAGAAACCTTCAATGGAAATTTTACATATTTACTCACTGATGTGCAATACTACCACTTCTATGACTTTAGTCAATGTTGGAGTACATTGCAGCTCAATGGGTTAACACAAGGTGTCTGTATGATGCTTGTGATGTTACTCTAAGTGTATACCCACACCGGGCAAGCTTGAAAAATATGCCTGGCCACGGTGGGAATCGAACCTACAACCTTTGGAATACCAGCCCAATGCTCTGCCAACATAGTATATATATGTAACTGGCAAACAATATTTATAACTTACCAACGCTCTGCCAACATAGTATATATATGTAACTGGCAAACAATATTATAACTTACCAACAACAACATTTTCCCATCTCTCAAATGGACCATAGAACTTTCTCTGAGAAAAAAATGATTTAGCATCACTGTACTTGACAGCAACAGACACTCGCCAGGGAAAAAAGGCAAGGAAAAAATGCCAAGGCAAAAATAAGGGCTGGAAGTATTTTCATAGGTACTATACTAGGAATATTCCATAAGTATAACCTGGACAAACTGTAGTAAGAACAATATCACTAAAATTTTCAAACTTCAAAAACGCTGTGCCAGAATTATCCTTGACGCTGAACCTAGCATCATTCCTCGATTAATCTATTTAATAATCTTGGTTGGTTACCTTTTTACGTAGAGTCGGATATCAGAAAATGTATTATGATCTACAAGCGTACTGTTAATGCTACTCCGGAGTATTTAAACAGACTATTAAATTTAAATAGCCAACAACATTCGAGGAACACTCGCAGTGCTGATTTAAGTTTAGTAACTCCGAAATACAATAGAGCTACAGAAGCAGGAAGAACTTTTTCTATAACCACTATAGGCCTCTGGAACAAATTACCTTTAAGTTTCCGTTCTGCTAGCTCCATTAACTGTTTTAAATACTTATTATATAATTGCTTCCGTACGCACCAGAGTGAATTTAAACAATTTACTTCTTTTCCTGATTTCAAATTTAAGTAATATATAATTGTAATATAGCTATATAATATTCTCTTTTATATAAATGTAATGTCATATATACCTCATGTAATGTAACCTTTTTAATTAAGTAAACTTGAAAGTCAACTGAGAATATTGATTTATAATATATATATATATAAATGTTGTAAATAGACAATAGATATACTCCCTAATTTTTTTAAAATTGAGGGCCACAAGTTCATTAGTACTTCGTACTATTAAGTGTCACCCTCTTTAAATAAAGTCTCTATCTATCTATCTATATATACCGAAAAATATCGGTATTGAAAGTAATATCAGTTTATCGGTTCTTCAGTCATACCAGTATAACAAAATTTCCGATATGTTGGAATATACCGATATCCTTTAAAACAGCTTCAAAGATATGAAAATTTCCTTCAGATTTCCACTAAGGAATTTTCCCATCTAATTTAAAAGGCAAAAAACCAGTATACTGATAATATAGGTATAACTTTCCGGTATGTTGATACCAGAAAATTCTTATACCGAACATTCCTATAGTATACCAGTACACTTTTGCTAACAAAGAATTATTATGAGAATGAAAGGCAAGGCCAACCTGATCATCGAGGTAAATGTCTCCTTTAAAAAATGGTTTAAATTCTTCCACGCCTATCGTCTCATGAACCACACCAATCAAGGGAATGCCTCTTTGGTCCAGCTCAGCTTTCAGAGAGGAAAGCACTGAAGCCTCCTGTTGAAGAAAGAAGAATACAACTTATCCACCACGAAGTTAGTTTAGTTTTAGTTTCTAACCAAATTGCCATGATACCTCTCTGCACAAAGATCATCCAGGGCGTCGAACAACCAGAATCACTGCTCCATTCTTTCTCCACAAGTCAGCAGCGCTGAGCAATTTATTAGATCCATCCAGCGCTTTTAATTGTATTCCCGACAAGTACGATAAGCTGGCTTTTTCAATCTTAGGATTAAACAATCCAGCATTTATCATTGCAACCCCGGCCACAGCAATAGTGGCTCCGGCACTTAACAACCAACTCATTGCAACAACAAGCTGTTTTCCTGAAATGAAAGCCAAGTGTAGTACTTATAAGGTCATTGTGGATTGTAATTGTTTATTGCCATGACCCAAGCAGGGGGGATTAATAATCTAGCTGTCTGGAGGCATCCTCCCCCCCCCCCCAGGAAACATTTCTATTTTTATGGTCTGTGAAATGCTATTTCATGCATTTGAGGTAAGCCCTGGGCAAACTAGGAAACATTGTTGTGGAAACATTTGTGATTCTCCATGTTTCCTCAAATGTTTCCCTGTTTGCCCACCTGTGGAAACATTGTTGTGGAAACAAAATTTGCTTCCCGAGAAGCAAAAATGTTTCGTAGCAAATTCAGAAACATTCGATGTTTCCTTATGTTTCTCACTAATGTTTCCTAGTATTTGCCCTACCTCCTCCGCAGGCGTTAAAGGCGGGCGTGAATTTTAAGGCTGATGCTAGTTGAGGGCGGGAAAAGTTTGCGGGTGGGTAAGGATTCTTCCCTGATCTCAAATATCACACCCGCAAATTATTCCCGCCCGCATCGAAAGGTCTGCGCAGGAGGTAGGTGTTTGCCCACTCTTGGAAACATTGGTAGGAAACAATGTTTCCGCAACGTTTCCTAGTTTGCCCAGGGCTTAATTACGTTTTATGATAAATTTGTGAAACTGGGTCGATATAAGTTTATATCTGAACTCCACATACTGGTATATTTAAAAGCTGACAAAATAGCAGATTAAACATCACTTCACCACTTTCATTCACAGTGAATAAATACATTTTTCTGGCTTTAAAATTATCCGGATACTCGAGGGATATTGCATATTATTTGCATAATTTTCAAGGCATTCGGGAATCACATGCGAATATGTTTCTTCAACATTATAATGCTAGTTTATACAACTAGTAATTTTAATATCTAAATCTTAATTTTACGTGGAATTGATTCACTTACCAATGTTTTTCTCAGCAAACTCCTCTGGACATTTTTTAAAATACTCCCAGAACCACAAGTTGGGGTTAGTGGGGGTTTCGGAGCAGCAACAAGGATAGCGTTACACCAATAGAGGAACAAAGGGGATATTAGCTGAAGTTCTATCCCCCAAAGGTGCAAATTATGCTAATTAGATAAATGTCAGTTCAAGCCACAGTGTCAGTAGTTGTGTACTACTTTTTTAATGTAGCTAGTGCAGACATCACCAGCTATTAATGAATAGTTTGTTTAATAAAAACATCATCTGGCAGTCAGAAGACTGAATTACATGACGTTAAATAACAAGATATTAATTAAAACGTTCATCTAGAAGAAAATTAAAAACAATATATTTTATGGATAGAAATAATTTACACTACACCTGCTCCCGATTAGTTGATGTTTTAAACAGACTGATTCAACAAATGAGTTGTAACGTTGAGAAGTTTCAAGACCAACAGGGGTAATGGATGGATAGGTAGATTCTTCTTTCACGAGAGAACTCAGGAAAAAGAAAACCTACATTGAATATAACACTTGGGTTTTGGTGAAAATTTTGGAACATACAGTGACTTGGAATCGCATGTAAACTACAAAGATGAACAATCACTCTACAGAGAGGAACGGATCAACAAACAATCCAATACATTCTCCCAACTTTGCTTTGGCATTGATGCTTGCGATAAATGTTGTTGGAGTTCTTGGAAATGTTCTCTTAATCGTGGCACACGTTAAGGATCCTTTGAGAGTTCTAAAATCTCCATCTTCGCATTTTATCCTCAGTATAGCTTCGGCGGACGCGCTACTGTCAGGCGTCTTTATGGTAACCACGGCCTTTACTTTGGCCTCTATCAACACATATTGGGATTGGGATACCTCTTATCATAGTTCTATCTTTTTGTTACTCTTACTAACAAGTCTGCTCTATTCTGCGTTATTTGCGTCCTACCTAAGCCTAGCTGCTGAACGATTTTTATCGGTCGCTTATCCGTTATGGCATCGCGTGCGGGTAACAACTAAGGTTTGTCGATATTGGGTAATTGGACTATGGCTAGGGCTTGGTGGGTTCAGACTAATAGATTTTGCTCTGACGCGAATAAAGGAAACTTTAACTACAATACAGTCGCAGTTGACTCTTATAGTTTTTATGTGCATACTGCTGATGCTAACACTATCTGTTTACATTGCATCATATATTTCAATAAGAAGACAAAGAATGGAACTCCAAAATAGAACCAGTATGAGCGAAGTAACTATCAGGACAGCTCAAATCCGCCTGGAAAATGAAAAGAACTTTCTTGTTACAATTGCAATTGTCTGCCTCGCACTGGCTGCAACTGTTTTACCATTTCTCATAATATCTTTCGTTTCTTTGGTCGAAGTTACGAACAGATTGAAGGGAGATGATAGTAAAATTGTTGTACCATCCTACGCTCACTGGGGTTTATTATTAATAGGTTTAAATTCAGCTGCAAATGTGTTCGTGTATCTTTGGCGACTTCCGAAATACAGAAAGACATTCAAGAAACTTTATTGCGACTGTTGAAAAACGAGAACCTATCTTGTACGTAGTATGCATGACATAGTGACAAGTATTTACTGCAATATCTGTCATGCAGCTTATAGGATTTGCTAGATGTGTTTGAGGAAAATGAGTCGTTGTTCAACACTGTAACGCATGGCCTTAGATAACCGAGCAAAACTAACCTAACATTGTTTATAGTTGATAGCTCAAGACCACTTGAAAAGGGCATGTAGTAAAACACTGACTACCGGAACACCGGAACACCACCGGAACACCGGAACACCACCGGAACACCGGAACACCACTATTTTGTTTGGGGTTAGGGTTAGGATTAGGGTTTGGGGTTAGGATTAGGGTTAGGGTTTAGGGTTGACGTTAGGGTTAGGTGGTGTTCCGGTAGTCAGTGTTTTACTACATGCCCTTGAAAAGCTCAGGTGTAATTAGTGTTTTGCTTCCGCATCTATGATAATAGATTAGATAATTTGCACAAAGTTGCACTTTTGTACATTGGGTAGCAAAGAGGATTAGCTGTAGTTTTATCCCCAATGGTGCAAATTATGCAAATTAGGTAAATATCAGTTCAAGCCACAAAGTGTCACAGCGCTGCAGGTCGCTTAATAAATATTACATGTAGTTGTGCACTACTTTTTTAATGTAGTGCAGACATAGGCGTACCGGGCGGGGGGGGCGGTAGCCCCCCCAGTTTTTTAAGCAGTCGGGCAATATTCGACCAACAGTCGGGCAATTTTGGCTTGCAATAAAAAAAAATGGGACAAATTCTGTCAATTTTGTCTAAAATTAAGTCAATTTTTTGGCAAATTTTGTGATTTTGATATATTGCAATTAAAACTAGAAATAATTTACACTACACCTGCTGCCGATCAGTTGATGTTTTAAACAGACTGATTCAACAAATGAGTTGTAACGTTGAGAAGTTTCAAGGCAAACATGGGTAATGAATGGATAGGTAGATTCTTCTTTCACGAGAGAACTCAGGAAAAAGAAAACCTACATTGAATATAACACTTGGGTTTTCTTGAAGATTTTGGAACATACAGTGACTTGGAATCGCACGCAAACTACAAAGATGGACAATCACTCTACAGAGAGGAACGGATCAACAAACGATCTAATACATTTTCCAAACTCCGCTTTGGCATCGATGCTTGTGATAAATGTTGCTGGAGTTCTCGGAAATGTTCTCTTAATCATGGCACACGTTAAGGATCCTTTGAGAGTTCTAAAATCTCCATCTTCGCATTTTATCCTCAATGTAGCTTCGGTGGACGCGCTACTGTCAGCCGTTTTTCTTGTATCCACGATCCTGGTCCTTAATTTGGCTTTCGCCAAAAGATCTTGGGATTGGGATACCTCTAATCGTAGTTTAATCTTATTCCTACTAATCAGTCTGATCTGTTCTGCGTTATTTGCGTCCTACCTAAGCCTAGCTGTTGAGCGATTTTTATCAGTCGCTTATCCGTTATGGCATCGCGTGCGGGTGACAACTAAGGTTTGTCGATATTTGGTAATTGGACTATGGCTGGGGCTTGGTGGGTTCAGACTAATAGATTTTGCTCTGACGCGAATAAAGGAAACTTTAAGTATAATACAGTCGCAGTTGACTTTTGTAGTTTTTATATGCATACTGCTGATGCTAACACTATCTGTTTACATTGCATCATATATTTCAATAAGAAGACAAAGAATGGAACTCAAAAATAGAACCGGTATGAGCGAAGTAACTATCAGGACAGCTAAAATACGCCTGGAAAATGAAAAGAACTTTCTTGTCACAATTGCAATTGTCTGCTTCATACTGGCTGCAACTGTTTTACCATTTATCATAATGACTTTTGTAACTATTGTCAACGCTACGAACAGATTGGAGGATGATAGTAAAATTGCTGTACCATCCTACGCCCACTGGGGCCCATTTTTGATAAGTTTAAATTCAGCCGCCAATGTGTTCGTGTATCTTTGGCGACTTCCGAAATACAGAAAGACATTCAGGAAACTTTATTGCGACTGTTGAAAAACGAGGACCTAGCCAAGAACATATCTTCAGGGGTGTATGCAGTAACATATATAGTGACAGGTATTTACTGCGATATCTGTCATACAGCTAAAAGGCTGAAAGATTTGCAAGATGTGTCTGAGGACAATGACTCAATGTTTAACACTGTAACCCACGAAATTTGCTAACTGAGCAAAACTAACCTAACATTGTTTTACTTAATAGCTCAAGACCACATGAAAAGCTTAGGTGTAATAGGCAATTCCAGCAAAAGACTAAATTTTGATCTAGGCAAGAAGAACAAAATCCATCACCACAGCTAGAAAGAGCATGTTAAAATTAGTAAAATTGCAAAGTTTGGCCGAAAAATGTTGTAAAATGCGGAAAATATAACCCTGCGCGCAAAATTTGCAAATTTTGTATAAAATTTGTATTACGCGCGGGAAAATGCACCACATTTGGGCTGAAAGTGGTGTATTTCCCGTGCGTAACACAAATTAATACAAAATTTCGCAGGGGTATATTTTCCGCATTTTACAACATTTCGCAACCAAACTTTGCAATTTTACTAATTTTAACATACTCTTTCTAGCTGTGGTGATGGATTTTGTTCCGTCTTGCCTAAATCAAAATCTAGTCTATAGCTGGAATTGCCTATTAGTGTTTTGCTTCTTTATCTATAATAGATTAGATAATTTTCACAAAGTTGTCAACCTCGTTCTCACGGCTTTGTTGTACTTTTGTACATTGGGGAACAAAGGGGATATTAGCTGTAGTTTTATCCCCCCAAAGGTGCAAATTATGCTGATTAGGTAAATGTCAGTTCAAGCCAGAAAGTGTCACAGCGCTGCAGGTCGCTTAGTAAATATTACATGTAGTTGTCAATATTTAATATGTAGTGCAGACATCACCCACAAAATAACAAAATATTAATTAAAACGATCATCTAGAAGAAAATTAAAAACAGTATATTTTATGGATATATTGCAATTTAAACTAGGAATAATTTACACTACACCTGCTGCCGATCAGTTGATGTTTTAAACAGACTGATTCAACAAATGAGTTGTAACGTTGAGAAGTTTCAAGGCCAACATGGGTAATGAATGGATAGGTAGATTCTTCCTTCACGAGAGAACTCAGGAAAAAGAAAACCTATATTGAATATCACACTTTGTTGAAGATTGAATATAACATTTTGTTGACGATTTCGAACATACAGTGACTTGGAATTACAGGTAAACTACAAAGATGAACAATCACTCTACAGAGAGGAACGGATCAACAAACGATCCAATACATTTTCCCAACTCTGCTTTTGCATTGATATTTGCGATAAATGTTGTTGGAGTTCTTGGAAATGTTCTCTTAATCGTGGCACACGTTAAGGATCCTTTGAGAGTTCTAAAATCTCCATCTTCGCATTTTATCCTCAATATAGCTTCGGTGGACGCGCTACTGTCAGGCGTCTTTATGGTATGCATGGCCCTTACTTTGGCCTCTATCAACACATATGGGGATTGGGATACCTCTAATCAAAGTTCTATCTTATTCTTACTAACCAGTCTGGTCTTTTCCGCGTTATTTGCGTCCTACCTAAGCCTAGCTGTTGAGCGATTTTTATCAGTCGCTTACCCGTTATGGCATCGCGTGCGGGTGACAACTAAGGTTTGTCGATATTGGGTAGTCGGATTATGGCTGGGGCTTGGTGGGTTCAGACTAATAGATTTTGCTCTGACGCGAATAAAGGAAACTTTAACTATAATACAGTCGCAGCTGACTTTTGTAGTTTTTATATGCGTGCTGCTGATGCTAACACTATCTGTTTACATTGCATCATATATTTCAATAAGAAGACAAAGAATGGAACTCCAAAATAGAACCAGTATGAGCGAAGTAACTATCAGGACAGCTCAAATCCGCCTGGAAAATGAAAAGAACTTTCTTGTTACAATTGCAATTGTCTGCTTCATACTGGCTGCAACTGTTTTACCATTTCTCATAATGTCTTTTGTTTCTTTGGTCGAAGTTACGAATAGATTGGAGGGAGATGATAATAAATTTGTTGCACCATCCTACACCCGGTGGAATTTATTATTAATAGGTTTAAATTCAGCCGCCAATGTGTTTGTGTATCTTTGGCGACTCCCGAAATACAGAAACACATTCAAGAAACTTTATTGCGACTGTTGAAAAACGAGGACCTAGCCAAGAACATATCTTCAGGGTATATGCAGTAACATAGTGACAGGTATTTACTGCGATATCTGTCATACAGCTTGAAGATTTGTAAGATGTGTCGGAGGCAAATGACTCGATGTTTAACACTGTAACCCACGAAATTTGGTAACTGAGCAAAACTAACCTAACATTGTTTTACTTGATAGCTGAAGGCCACATGAAAAGCTTAGGTGTAATTAGTGTTTTGCTTCTTCATCTATGATTATAGATTAGATAATTTACACAAAGTTGTACTTTACACATAATTTACACAAAGGCGTTTCTTTGAAGTTACCCAACTTCGCCATTTGCACCATACAAATATGCCAAGAAGTCTCCACTCTTGGTATATCGACGTGGAATTCATCAGTGAGCAAATGACCAGTAGACAAACGAAGTAATAGCCTGGCCGTATTGCAATCCACGACCAACTAAACCGTTTTATGTAGTCAGATTTTGTAAAATCTCACTAAACCAGTGACACAGTTGAGTTCGACCATCCATATGAATGTATATCCGCTGCCAGTAAACCAACCATGATCTAACTGTTGAAAGGATTCTAAATTCAACTCGACACGTGCAAGATTGTGCGTCTCAAGTTGAAGTTAGAGTCCTGGCAATGTTGGTAAAACATTTCACCGAGAACATCTGTGGTCGGAAATTGAATCTGCCCCGTTTCCGGGAAGATTATTTTTAGTGCTGTTTATCAAAATGAAATTCAAACCAAACTGTTATGAACTGAAATCAAAGAAAACGCAATCTACATGATCGTGTACTTAGATCGTCTTCCAAACGTCACTTGCCACACCCTTTTGCCACTTATATTTATTAATTACCAAAATCACTACCAATTTTTTTCACATACTATATTATTTATGCTGAATATACTTTTACTAATCGTTCAGCTCATGCGGTCATGCACGGCATTGGGCTACTACATATAATACCCGACCCCCCGGGCAAACATATACATGCTCATAACTATGCTACAGTCATATATGCATATGATGGGAATGAGAGTTTATACTTAATCACATTCTCACATAAAGTAGCAAAGAAAATAATTAGAGCTGCTGGTATAATAGCTAAAATACGACATTTCATAAATCGAAATACTCTAAAACTTATATATTATGCATTAGTCTATCCATATTTGATATACGGCAACTTAACATGGAGTAATACTTATAAAATTCGAATCCAAAAAATAATGAATATACAAAAAAAAATTGTACGTCTAATTACTTTCAAGTCTTATTTAGAGCACAGTGAGCCAATTTTCAAAGATTTAAATATCCTAGACATTTTCAAAATCAATGACTATTTAACTGCCTTATTTATGTTTCGATACCACCACCCTAACAATTTACCAGATTTCTTTAAAAATTATTTTGTAACAAACAACGAAACTCATGAACATAACACGAGAAATGCATCAAAACTTCACAAATGTTATAAAAGAACAAATTATGTAAAACACACTCTCTCAAATAAAGGAGTTGATGTATGGAATTTGTTAGAAACAAAACTTAATGAAGTAAACTCCTATAACACCTTTAAAAAGAAAATTAAACAACATTTTTTGCTATACACAATTACCAATATATAAAACA